GCTGGAGTCTATCCCAGCTGACTCAGGGTGAAGGCAGGTTCACCTGGACAGGTAACCAGTCTATCACAGGGCTACACTTAGAGACAGACAACCAAGCACACTCACATTCACACCTACGGACAATTTACAATCACCAATTAACCTCAGCATGTTTCTGGACTGTGGGAGGAAGCCGGAGAACCCGGAGAGAACCCACGCTGCACGGGGAGAACATGGAGACTCCACACAGGAAGATCCCGGGTGTCCTCACCGGGACGCCAACCGGCGACCTTCTAGCTGTGAGGCGATGGTGTGAACCACCGAGCCTCCATGCAGCCCCAGGATGAACTCTGTTGGTAACGTGGATGTTCAAATGTTTTTAATCTTGGATGCCTGAATTTAATTTTAAGCAACAGGACTTTTAAATGTGGGATTTGAGATCAGATCAGCAGCATAATGTAATCGTGGTTAAATTCTGCTTCCAGCTAACATTAACTTTATCGCATGATGTTGCAAGAAGTTTTATTTGTCGGCCAGATGCCCCAGAAAACTGGCCTCGATGTCACATTTTACGGCTTCCACTAAACGAGCCTTCATCAAAGCCTCATGTGCTGAACATACAGTTGATCCTACAGTTTAAATGCACCCAGAGAGTGGAGGACCGTCCAGGGCACATCACCGTGAATCACTGTGAATGTGCAGCAGGGTGGGTCTATAAAGAGCACGGTGGTCTGTCAGCTCGACCTTGTTAAAGGTTTTAAAGTATACCTCCAAGAACTTTTTTTTTTTTTTCCATACATTTGTCAGACTTGGGGATTCCCACATTGACAGACAAGTAGAGGTTTAATTTTCCTAGAAGCTGAATTATTGCAGTAAGAGAATTAATCACAGTTGCATCCCATCATAAGTTGACAGTATAAAGTGAAAACGCTGCTTCATGTACGCTGTGCACATGAACGGCATGATTTCATAACCCAGCAGTAACTGGAGATGATCCATCTCTGTCTCGGCCTCCAGGGACCACAGAAGTGATTGTTGCTGGATGTTTGTGGCTTCCCACTGAGGAGCATCACACATGCATGTTTGGATGTTAAACATTCCTCCTGCTCTCCTCAGCTACTGGGCAAAAAAACACATTCTCTTCTAATCAAATTCAAGATTCATTTTGTTTGACATGAACGAGCGCTGCACAGAAGATCCATAGGAAGGCCGGTTCTGTCGACACATCTCAGTGACAGAAAGGATTCATGCAACAGTTGGGACTTGGACATGTTGAGGCGTTGCAAAGCGAATATCTAGCAGCAGAGGAATTGATTTTTTTACAGGATAGAGGGGAGAGGCAGTAACTGACCCTGGGGGGAGAAGTGAAGGCTTTCCTCTGCCGGGCTGAATTATTGATGGAGCAGTTTGTAAAGCTGTGATCTCAAAGCTGCTCGACCGTGAGCCTCGTTTGGTTTAACAATACAATTACAAGGAGGTAACATAACGCTCTCTGCAACAGGACACGTGGAAGGTTGTCGCTTTTGTAGATGGATAGCGTACGGTACATGATTATTGAGCTGCTGCACTTTTGCTTTCTCGCCACAAGAGGTCAGGCTGCTCCTGAGCCTGCCCTCTGCTCGGTCAGTACTTCAGTATGTAGGATTCAGCAACCAGAGAGTTTCAGAAAAGGACAATTCAGAATGATCTAGAGGAGAATATCAGCTTCTGGGATTTCTTGGGATACTTTAGGACCTCAAACTGTGTTACAAGGGTCACTGAACATCTCCAGTCATCATTCCAGCAGCGCCCAAGGCTGTTCCAGGAGAAATAAAAGGGTTCAAGGGTAGAGTTTCAGGTTTAGGTTGTCCCAAATATGGGGGGTTCTTCCTTTTTGGTGTCTGTTGAAAGGTTTCTTTAGGAGCTCAATGGATCTATGGAAAGCCCCTTTGTCGTAGGGTTCCTCCAGGAAGATTTTCAGTATCGATTAATGAAGTTTGGGGGATATTTACTGCTCTTCTAAGTACCTTTAATGGGACCATGAGGCCTGTGGATTTCTTGAGGGATGTCCATCTTTTCTTGATGAGGTTTTAGGCTTCACTGGGTTTTCCTGGAACACCAAATTGCTTAAAAATGTAAATTTGTATATCCCCGCTTGAAGAGGACTCCTGAAGCCCATGAACCCGTGAGAACCGGAGAAAACCACAAAGACATTCCAGCGGTCCTCATGTGGTTACGGGCTAATAGAAGTTTGGGTTTGTGCTCAACGAAAATCTCATCAAGGAGGTTTCCACACGATGAAGAGAATTAACTCTTGAGAGCAGATGTCCATGTTTGTCTCAGATCTACTCATCAGTTCTTACTGTGATGAAGGTCATATTTCTGTCATTATCTCCTTCACCTCCTTGTCTTTTACCTGTTTCACAATCTTCCGTTACTCTTTTGACCTTCTGACTTTTGTTTTTTTCTAAATGCATTTCCAGTAAGACAAAACAAAATGTAGTAAAGTCATTTTTTGGTCAAGAGATGTTTAATGAAGGATTATTCCTGAACACATAACTGGTTCAGAGTAAATTGTTTGTCCTCAGAACATATAAAAAGGGAACAGCCAAACTAAAGACATCACAGAGCCCTCTCCAACTGAACAGAGATTTCCTTCGAGTGTTGAGATCAGCGTCTGGCGTCGTGCTAACTTCATCAGCGCCATCCTCTCGTGTCCATCAAGCATTTCTCGGCCTGCTTTCTCCGGGCCAATTAGTGACGAATAAAGCCTCAAAAGCATGGAGTGACGTGGTCGCCGTGGCAACAGCGTTTTCCTCACGATGAAGGCGAGGGCACTGTTGCCGCGGGTGATGTCAGTCACACTGTCGGCTCTGTGCCAGAAGGAATCTGAGAGAAACGGCGACGGCAGCGAGAGCCGAGGAGGGAATACTCTGTCTGATTGTTTGCTTTCAGGTGTGTGTGTGTGTGTGTGTGTGTGTAAGTAAATGGTTGGCGTACACTGAATAGTTCATAGAGAGGATGCATCAGAGCTGTACGTCACAATCTGTTCAGCAAATACCACAAATAGCTGCAATATGAGCAAATCCTATTAGTTGTTCTTACATGTGAAAACCCTCCTTCTCCTGATGCTCAGGTATCTGATGCTTTCTCTCACTGTGAACCTTCACTGGGTCACAATCACTGACTATACGAAGCCCTACATAGTCACTGAGGTGTGGACAGAGAGGTCACTTGGTCTCTCCACAGCACACATGTTCAAAAAGTCAGATGTTGCTTTATCTACATGGTTACAGGTGAGGTTTCCTTCTGAATACTGTCCATGTAACATCTATGTGTGCCTTGAGCTTCTTTGCAACCATAAGGGAGATTTTCTCTGACTTGAAGCTGAACAACTATTCATCCCAACTTCCACAGTTTCCCTAAATTTCTTAATGACAACTCAGACAGCTGGGGGCACTTTAATGTCTTTTATTATTCTTCCTCTGCTCAGAGGTGTTATTTAAATTCATTTCCAGATCCTCAGCCAGCAGCTGAAGGGATCATACAAACAACTATGAGACAACCTGCTCTTACAGAGTCTACACAACAGGCTGTAGTGGTTAAACAGCACCACCATGATATGAACAATTTAATAATACATGAAATAAGATGTGTTTAAAAATATGATGCATTCACACTGGATGGCTGGAAACGTTTTTGAGCTGCCATTATCTTATCCACAAGCTGTACATTCTCTTTATATACCACACAGAACCCCCCAGAGAAACCCAGCATGATAATCACACCAAATTATCACTCAGCAACGTCGAAAAGACGACGGCTGCAAGATGACGAGAAGACAGCCGCCTTGGTACTTGAGAGACAGAGTGAGAGAACCGTCACTAACCAGACAGCCTAGCATGACAACCTGAAGAACACGCAGAATGACTCCACCAAGACGTCGTTGGTTAGTGGTTCAGTAATTACCTCCAAAGTTGTACAATGGGCAGTGAAAGTACCCAGGATACAGTCTGTAGTAATACTGTTTCTGGGCTGCACGGTGGCTCTGTGGTTAGCTAGAGGGTCGCCGGTTGGCGTCCCGGTGAGGACACCCGGGATCTTCCTGCGTGGAGTCTCCATGTTCTCCCCGTGCAGCGTGGGTTCTCTCCGGGTTCTCCGGCTTCCTCCCACAGTCCAGAAACATGCTGAGGTTAATTGGTGATTGTAAATTGTCCGTAGGTGTGAATGTGAGTGTGCTTGGTTGTCTGTCTCTAAGTGTAGCCCTGTGATAGACTGGTTACCTGTCCAGGTGAACCTGCCTTCACCCTGACTCAGCTGGGATAGACTCCAGCCCCCCATGACCCTGGTGAGGATTAAGGTGTAGCGATGGATGTATTGTTTGTCAAAACTGAAACCAATCTCATCTGAAAGCTTCTACAACTCCAGTCCAGAGACATTTCTCATTCGGTAACGTTTTTGTCAAAACCGGTTTTAAACAAAATCATTTTGTTCTCAAAATAAAAGTCTATGTTGTGCTGGAACACAGCCCAGTGCAAATCGCTATCTGTTCAAATTGAATGGAACATACATCATGATCCTCCCCAAACATAAATGCTTTTTCCAAACACTGTCAACAAGCGCTCTGCTCACGACGACTGTCGCAAACATACAATAGGACGGAGAGGAAGGATGGAGTGGGAGGAGAGTGGAAGCAGAGGGGAGGGGATTTAAAACCACCAGCAGACAGGCATTCATGCTTTCTCCCCATTTCTCCTCTCTCTCTCTGTACACCCTCCTCCCCACTCTCCTCCTGTGAGCCTCTCTCTCACCTCTCTCCTCCTATATAGAGGAGTCAGCCGGTGCATCAGCCTACAGCTCATCTGGCGTTCGCTCTTACTTTCCCCCTGCCTCAGTTTCTCACTTCTGTCTGCTTCTCTGCCGACTGATACTTCTGCTGCCTCTCATTCTTCCCCTCCATCCTCCTCTTCCACCTGCTCCTCATCCCCCCACATCTCCAGCCAGCCATGGTGAACAGATAACCGCCCGACTGTCTTCAGACCATGGGTGCCTGTCTCTGCAAAGGTCACAAAGGTCAGTGCTCGAGTCTACACGCCTGTGCTTCTGTGTGTGTTTGCATGTTTGAGGGTTAGCCCGACCTGACAGCTGTCAACTAATATTCAAGAAACAAAGTGCTTTCAGAAAGTTGGCTCATGCTTTAGAGCGATAGGAAGCCTTGAAGTCACAGTAAATGCTCGGTAATATAATCCTTGTGGTTGACAGATTCTCCTGACGTGTTAGGATTCTAAAAACCACCTGAATCACATTTTTTTAGCCGAGCTGAGCACATAATAGGAGTAATTAGTGTGAAAGTGATGTTTCAACACAAATTCTGACATAAAACATTAATCTGGAAACTTGTTTTCTCTCACGTCTCTTCTCGAGCGAAGCCGTGGAGGCTGATGATGATGAGCGCTGTGTGGCTCAGCCGAGGACAACAGTGGCTTCAGGACATAACACCTTCATCCGGAGCTCATGTCCAACTTGTCGTGACTTGAAGATGTGAATAGGGTTGCGATTTTCTCTCTCAGATTTGCTGCCTGTCGCAGCTTCAGGGGAGAATAAGTTTGCTGTGTTTCAAACGCTGACAAATCGCAGTGCTTTTGCTGGATGCAGGGCCTCTTTCAGGAAGAACACAGGGATTGATTTGTGCGATCAAAACAAAAGATCCAGAGAGATTAAACATTGATTTGAGGTGTACCAGCTACCAAACAACCATCCACTTGTTATTCTTTTAGAACATGACATCTGACAACATTTTTACAGTCTTGGACTTTGTTTCCTGCTCGAGTCTGTTGTGAAACAAAGTCTGCTTTCATTCAGGAAGAGCCCCTTTTAGAGCGATGGAGGCTGGTGAGCGCTTTCAAGCTGTGAAGAAAGAGGGGAGGCAGCTGTGAGGCTCCAGACAAACAGATAAGAGGACAGCGGGAGTGTGTACACGTATGTGTGAGAGCGAGTGCAGGTGGGATTTAAGCCTCACAAACAGCCGATTGGTCCAGAAAATCATGATGGGGTGTCTTGACCTGCTAATAGCATCTGATGAGACCGGAGACCAGAACCAGCCCTGTGCACCAGCCTGGCTATCTGTGTGTGCGAGAGTGACCGTGACTTGGGTAAACGGTGTACTCATCTCCTGTTGCTGTAGCGTTTCCATGGCGACAGCAAATTGTTCTGACAACACGTCCCTGGGGAAACCCCGAGCATGTGTTCGTATTCCTGTGTGTGTGCTGATCTTTCTCCTGATGTTAATTCTCCATCGCACTGACCTCCTGATCTTCATACGAGCCTCATCACCGTCAGTTATAAAGCAGATAGCCAGCGTGGGCCGGCCGGCGCAAAGCTGAACACGCAGAAAGGATTTGGTTAAATGACTCACAGGAGTCAACGCTCTCGCTCCCTCGTTCTCATTCAGAATATATGAGCCTCGCTTGACCCCTGGCTTGACCTGACAACAGGCTTGAAAGACTATGATCCTTGTGTGTTAATGCGCACACACACACACACTGACACACACAAAGGAAACTGTCACACATGCTCTACAGGCCTAACACCAGCGTTTGATTCCCTGCAGAGCTCCACCTTCCCGTATCAACGCTGCAGCAGCCTGAGGAGGGTCAGCAGTCATCTGTCAAGGTAAGGAGAAGCCCCGCTGTGACGCTGGAGGGTTTGGCCTGATGCTAGCCTTTTCACTATCTGCTTAGCTCACTTGTGCCCGACTGAGAGCAACACGTCAGATTGTGAGTTAAGCAGCTCCTAGAAAGAAAATCACAGAAGCTGTACAGATACAAGCTCTAGAAGAACATCCACATTGTTCTTAAGGGGACCCTCTATATACACAGTATGTCACATTTCTGCAAATATTTTATGACGTCTTTTCATGGGACAACACTGAAGAAATGACACTTAGCTCCAATGTAAAGTAGTCAAAGTACAGCTGGTATAACGGTTTACATTTACTGCCTCCTCAAAGTAACTCCGCCATTAATGTCTAGACCTCTGGCAACAGAAGTGAGTGAGTACACCCCCTCAGTGAAAATGTCCAAACTGGGCCCAAAGTGTCTCTACTTTGTGTGGCCACCATTATTCTCCAGCCCTGCCTTAACCCTCCTGGGTTCAGCAGAGCTCCACAGGAATCCTCTTGTGCTCCTCCACCTTCCATTAGAGGAGGGTTTTGGGACTTAAACACCGTCGCCCATAAAGTTGGAATAACTTTTCAGACACATTCATCTCTTTATTTCTACACATAACCCTAACCCCATCACTTCTGACCAGGTGCATTGATTACATACTGAGTCCCAGGTACCAGGTGGAACCAATCCTGACTTCAGGATGTGACTGCAGACTGGGACGTCCTGCCCAGTGACACCATCAACCAGCTGGTGGACAGAACACCACCATTGATCCATGTCAGGGGGCCAGACTCAACATTAGTGACATTAAAAGAGTAATATTGGACATTCTGATGCACTAAATCCCCTCGAATATGTGTTTCCTGTTTGCAAAAGTGAAACAAAACCCTTAATCCTGTTGTTCAATTCCTCCAGTTTAGTTTAAGCCTCAATACAGTTTGCAAAAGCTAATTGTGGTTTAAATTTTACTGTTATATGTATTTTATGTATATTGTGAGATCAATAAAGTTTTGAGAAGATATACACTTTATCAAGAATAAATCACATTGTCACAATCGTGACATGAGAAGTAAAAAAAAAAAAGAATCCAACTTTATGCCAAACTATTATGCAAATTATATTTTTCTTTGACTTTCCTAAACAGTCAGCATCAACCATTAGAGTATAATTCCAGTGTTACTGAATAAACACCCAATGATAGCAGGATGTTTTTCAAAAATAAAAACATTTAAAATGCACTGTTCCAAATTATTCCACACACCAGAGTTCCAAAACATTTTATAGGTTGCAAAAAACTGAAAATGGTCATTTGTGAAATATAAGGTTTTCAACTATTTCATGCTTTTCAGCAGCAGAAAGGTTCTTTTTCTTTCCCATATTGCTTGTAAATGTTGGTCTGCTTAATTATGTGGAACGTCCTTCTTTAGTAGGTTTTCCTTTAATTGGGCTCACCTGGCAAACTGATTATCACAGGTGTCTGAGATTTATGTCACTGATCCAAAGAGCCCTGAGACGCCGTCCATGGGTTTATTTGAAAAACAAAAAAATGTAATCTTTAAGATACTTGCATACAAATGCGGTGTGTAAACAGTCGAAACCAGACGTTTACATTCACTGTATAAAGAGACACACAACCTTTTTTCCCCTCACTATCTGACATTAAATCTAAACTTTTCCTGTTTCAGGTCAGTTAGGATTAGACAAATTATTTCTATTTGCTAAACACCAGAATAATCAAAGAGATTTTGTTTTTACGATTTTCTTCAAAGTCAAAAGTTGCATAAGCTGTATACGTTTCTTGATATAGTGAATACACAACTTCTTTTTGTTTGCACAATGCTCCAACATCCCAGTCCCATCTTAAAAATCCTAAAGGCTGTACTCTCAACTCAGAGAAATCTATTGAACGGTGGCTTTGTTTCTATATCGATCACAGCCGCTAGCGTGTGAGCACCAGGCAGACTTAAATACCTTCTTTTGTTTGCACCTCATTCAGACTGGGTGTGAAGTCTGCAGAATTTCTGGCTGTTATTATCACCATTTCCCTTGAGAAAAAAAAAGTGGGAAATGTGTGGGTTGATTCATCACGTGCAGGACGTCGTTGCTACAGGAGGATGTTTTCTTGTACTTATTAGTATCTACAGTGTTGTTTTTCATACACCTCATAACTGTAATTCTGGTCTTTTGTATGCTTCAAACAAACAGTTACTCTGTCAGATGAAATCCATCCAAAGCCCAGAATAAATGTCACAGAAGCACTTGATGCTTTTTACCAGTAACATCAGTAACATCTCTTCTCTTGTGCATCGTGCTACATGCAGGATGAGCAGAACCCCTCCAACGGCAGCGTGGCAGATAAAACCAGCCGCTATGATATCGGAGAGCTAGCCACATCTTCTTTGATTGGTGAGACACACACACACAACCTTAGGGGGGGTAACCTGGAAATTGTGTTTGTAACCAGGGGAGGTCAGTGATGTGATTTCCCTCCTCTCCACCTTTAACTCTGGCTTCCTGCTCTCGCCATGTCAGCGCCTCGTCCTCTCCTTCATCCTGTGTCTGCCTCATCTTGACGCCTCCCTCCTCCCTCTGCGGGAGGTTCATTATCTCAGTTAATGTGTTATGCCTTGCTGAACTTTTCCAAGTGAAAGCTCCTTTATTATGCTGACAGTATAATTATGAAAGCCGTGGAAGCCTCATGAATATGAGAGACAAATGGAGACATTCAGGCTGACACCTGCTACAGGTTCCATCCATAAAAAACCAAAGAGCTATTTAACATTGATTCAGACCTAATCAGATGTCAATCATCATTTAAATTGGCGATGGAGGTTCTGTTCTTCTCAAATCAGATCACACTGGGCTAACTCAAATGTTATTGCACAAATGTAATCATGTTTAGAAGAATCGCTGCTGCTTTTATTTGTCTTGTGTGGTTCCGTTTGAAAGATGCATCGTGTTGATTTTATGACCTAATGGCTGGAATAGGAGCAGTGGTTACCACCATCGCCTCACAGCTAGGAGGTCGCCGGTTGGCGTCCCGGTGAGGACACCCGGGATCTTCCTGCGTGGAGTCTCCATGTTCTCCCCGTGCAGCGTGGGTTCTCTCCGGGTTCTCCGGCTTCCTCCCACAGTCCAGAAACATGCTGAGGTTAATTGGTGATTGTAAATTGTCCGTAGGTGTGAATGTGAGTGTGCTTGGTTGTCTGTCTCTAAGTGTGGCCCTGTGATAGACTGGTTACCTGTCCAGGTGAACCTGCCTTCACCCTGAGTCAGCTGGGATAGACTCCAGCCCCCCATGACCCTGGTGAGGATGAAGGTGTAGAGATGATGGATGGATGCTGTGCGGTGATACATGCTGAATCATTTGACCCTGCATATTTGAATCTCGTGGTTTATTTTTGGCCCCACAGTCACTACTGCAGCCAGTTTGGTCGACCACTGCTTAAAATCAACACTTGCCAACTGGGCTACGGTATTTAACAATTTTACCCTCCATGAGGACGACTGAATGTTTTTAATCCAGAATTATTCTCATTCTGGCCGGTAGATAACAAGCCCAGAGTACAGCTCCAGGCTTCCCACCATTCCTGTTTGTTCATTTGTCTGTGTTGCTCATGTGTTTGGCATCTCCCAACATATAGCAGAGAGTCCACATAATGCAGTATACGTCTATTTTTATGGAGTGACTTACTCCCTGCTGGTACTGCATTACACCTCGTCTCTGTTTACTGTAGCAACATGATAAACAAGTCTGAGAATCCATTATTACAGGGAACACAGAAGCTCAGATGACATGTTGGCCAGCTTGTTGCCTCAGAAATGCTCCACTTGTCATACCAAGTTTTTCCACTTGTTTCTCTCTCAGTTAAGACTTTCTATTAATAATAACTGTAGTTACAACCAAATGAAGGCAATGGAGTGTCGGCGCTAGCTAACAAAACCAAACTAAACCCTTTAGCCCAGGGGTGTCAAACTCTGGCCCGCGGGCCAAATTTGGCTCGCTTTGTAATTATATTTGGCCCGCGAGACAATACCAAATGACTACTACAGCTGCCCCCAGTATTATACTGTACAGCGCACTCACCGCTAATACTACAAATCCCACAATGCCCTGTTGTTTTGGCACATCAATCAGGACAGGACCCAGAAACTCCCTCTCCTCTGTGACAGTAGGCATAGCGACTTCACACTGCAACTGTGCCATTGATGTGTTTTTTTATTTATAATTTGATTTTGCATGTCTCCATGATTAAGTTATATATAATGTTTGGTAATAAGCGTTGCTTGTTCCATATTCAATGTTAAAGCAAAATTTGTTTCAGCCCATATTAAAAGGTTCATTTGTTCAATGTTGGCCCGCGACTTTGTTAAGGTTTTAAATTTTGGCCCACTGTGTTTTTGAGATCGACACCCCTGCTTTAGCCAAACTTTAAATCTAACAGCAACATCCCCACATAACAGAAGAAACTAAAACACACAGGACACGAGGAACTTCTTCACCAAGTTGTCCAGCTGCTAACAGGAGTCACTGAGACTCTCAAACTCCCACCGAGTCAGCAGCTGCCAACAGAAGTTACCACAAACACAAACACACACTGACTGTTCACCCTAAACCCCATCCAGCCCGACTGAAAGGCTGCTGGTCGCTTTTATAGCCAGGTGTGGTGATTGCTGGGTGGAGGAGGAGTGGTGCTGGTCCAATCAGACGTGACCAGAGGCGGGGAGAACCAGGGTCTTCAGCTCCAGGCTGATTAGCTGAGATGACTGGCAGCTGGTGGAGCAGCTCTCAACCAGCCACAGCTGGACCTGCACAGGTCATCTCCACACACCATGGTCACAAGTCCACATGACAAAAACGGCACCAACACCACGGGCCGTAGCACCATCTATCACTTCCTACTAATATATCAAAATGGTTTGTTTATGTCAAAAAGTTCTAACATTAGGCAGCTCTTTGTTCAGTAGATCCTCCACAGCTGCTGTCTTTAGTATGGATTCAGGGAACAATGTGATGAACTCACAGACTTCTGACCCAACTCTGTAGCTCGTAGATGCTGGACGGAGCACTTCAGTGTCTTTTAGCCTCTTATTTTGGCAGCATTACCTTTAGTTCAGCATCACTGCTTTCATCGACCTCATTTCAAGCTTCTGCATTCAGTGATGAGCTGCAGAAAACATCTGATAAACACGACCACACACTACTAACGCAGACTAACTTAGTGACAAGCTGGGGAACATAGTGGAGCATCCATCCATCATCTCTACACCTTAATCCTCTCTAGGGTCGCGGGGGGCTGGAGTCTATCCCAGCTGACTCAGGGTGAAGGCAGGTTCACCTGGACAGGTAACCAGTCTATCACAGGGCTACACTTAGAGACAGACAACCAAGCACACTCAGTATCACTCCAACAATCTTCACTAATAGAGAAGGTCAACCTGTGTGTAGCACAAGATGCAAAAAGCAGCAGAACATCTCGGTCTTTTGTGCTCGGTGCTAAACTCGCTGCTGCTTTTGAAGCTCGTTGCTTTGAGAGCAGAGTAATAAATGAAGGTGACTCAGATAAGCACGTCAACATTTTTTGTCAACTCTCCTCTTATCAGGACTCTGGTGACTGTGCAGGAACGACGTTCAAACAGACCTCCATGAAAAGAAGCAAACTCTGAAGGAAACAAGAAAAGGGAGGGAGACAGAAATAGGAAGTGCAGCTTGAAGCTTTATCCACCATCTAACGCTGCAAAGTCGTGTCAATGTTCGCACATGAAGTTTTGCATTCAGGTTGTTTCTGCTCAGACAGGCTGACCAGCACAGTGGCGCCTTTAATGCACTATATTCACACATTAACAGAGGAACCGAGGCTGGCTTTGCTGCATCATGGAGCACCTTCAACACATTCCTGCTCTGCATGAAGCTGCACCGGTTTGTTGAAGTTTGGTGCTTTTCACAATGCAGCGTGGGTAGTAAGAAGAAAATACCCCATTTGAAAAACAATTTACTGCCTAAACAGGTGGAAACAGAACAGAGCCTCACGGCAGAACGTGGGTCAGACGGCGTTCAGCAAAACACAGGGAGAGCCTCTGAGGGTTGAGCTCTAATGAAACATGATGATGATTTTCTTGGTTTCCCCGAGTGTCTGCCTCTCTTGGATATATGATCAGTGTTAAATATCTGTCCTTCCACTTCGATTCCTTTTTGTCCTCATGCCTCAGCTCGCTACCCTCCACCTCCTCCACCGCCTCCTCCTCCTGGTCTTGACATTTTTCAGCCTTCTTCCATAAATTCTTACTTTAACCTTTTTCCCTCTGTCTCTGTTTTGACCTTTACCTTTTCAACATTTATGTTTTTTGTCCTTTTTATTTCTCTTTAATCGGTACGTTCTGCGATCTGACCTTGGTTTGTTTTTAGTACATCTTGTGATTTGAACATCGAGGCTGGCAGACCGTCTCCTACCGAGTGCACGGGGCTCACAGAGCATCCTTAGTCATGGGTCTGCACATAGAGCTGACCCATATAGTCTTTTACACATGCATATATGATCAGTAGATTTTATGAGTATGGGTTTTTAGTTTTCTTTATATGATCATCCAACACATCTAATAAATATACACACACTCAGAGTTAACTTGACCAACACAGACATGCACGTATTTATCATTTTCAACATAATAACTGAAATGATTTAATGGATTATGCATTAAAACAGAAGCAGAGTAACTCATAACTTGAGCTTAACTTATCCCAAAGACTTCAAAACTCTAGCAAGCAACACGTTTTAGGTGTCAAAACAGAAAAATAAGTCCACAGGTTTTTTTTGGGGTTTTTTTGCGGCATTGTTGATAAATGGAAAATATGTGTGTGCACGTTTTTAATAATCTGTTTCTTTGCTTCTCGCTGGATTATATCAGGGATCTCCAACTCTGGTCCTCATGAGCTACAATCCTGCAGGTTTCAGATGTGTCCAACACACCTGACTCACATTAATGGATCTCCAGCAGCTCATTGTCAAGTTCTACACAAGTCTGTTAATGATCCATGAATGTGAGTCAGGTGTGTTGCAGCACGGAAACATCTTAAACAGGGGTGTCCAATCCTGGTCCTGGAGGGCCACAGTCCAGCATGTTTTAGATGTGTCCCTCTTCCAACACACCTGATTCAAATGATCAGCTCATCATCAAGCGCTGCAGAAGCCTGATAACGATCCTGCTCATGTGAATCAGGTGTGTTGGAAGAGGGAAACATCTAAAACCTGCAGGACAGTAGCTCATGAGGACCGGAGCTGGAGATCCCTGGATTATACCATGTTGGGTTTTCCAGCTCTCCACACAGTGCTGCTTGTTCACTTTGTTTTCTGTGGCTCTCTACATCAAAGCGAGCAGGAGAAATGCTTCTTTTCACGGTTCAGGTTATGCAAATAATTCGTAAATGCTCACTCAGTCTGAATAATGCAAAAAAAAATTAGAATTTCCTCTCAAATAAAACCCTCTGGAGGTAGTTTACCTTCCTCATGTCTGCTTTCAGATTTCAGTGTCCTGTCAGAGCAGCAGCATTTATTTACTCTTCATATCTACCATACTGTTATCCATGTAGCCACCATATCTTTATTTTAACATCTTCTCTGCTCCAGCGTCACCACTGGTTACCCCTAATCTCATCCATTTTATCTTCTCCATCTTCTCCTGTTATTTAGGTCTGGTGGCCACGATAAAGGAGCACATCACCAAGCCGACGGCGATGGCCCAGGGCCGAGTTGCTCACCTGATTGAGTGGAAGGGTTGGGGTGGATGTGGTGAGGCTGGGGGCTGGAGCGGGGCCTGGGGTAAAGGAGGCGGAGGCTGGGGGGGGATGGAGGCCGAGCTGCAGGAGGATGAACAATACTACTCCCAAATGACAGATGAGATCAAGGAGGCTCGCTTTGCTGCAGGTGAGACAGAAGGACGAGTCTCCTTCAAGTGGAGGTGACGCGATGCTCTCATCCCTCTGATGTAGTTGTTTGTTTGATTGGCTTGTGCAGAGGGAGCATCCACGAGAATCGATCGCCCTGAGGAAGTCCTATGACAGTGGCTCAAATCTTATTCGATTTGCTTTCGTTTGTGACGTCGTTAGACTTGATGAAAAACAGCAGACTTCTGAGAAAAGCAGCATAACGTGTGTTTGTTTTACTCGTGTTTCTCAGGTGTGGCGGAGCAGTTTGCTCTGGCCGAGGCAGCCATGAATGTGTGGTCCATGAACGACGGCTTAGAGCAGCCGTCCACCAGGTTACAAGGTCGGTGCATCGCTGAAGCTTTTAATGTTCAATTTCTGTTTTATTTACATTTCAGATTCCTCCTCGGGGCGTGCTGCACACTTTCAGGTCCGCTGTGTTTGAAACCAAAAGACTGAAACAACATAGAAAGCCATTTAATCTGTCCTGATTTTACCTTGAAGGCTTTTCTTTTATGCTCATAACGGATTTTTAAGACAAAGTCAAAAGGTGAAATATTTCTCACAGCGTAATTGACTGTATGATATAATAAAATAAAATAACATGTCATATAATCAGATCTATTTTGGCAGATTAAAATTTCTTTAGTCTACTCTATGAACCTTTAGAATGATGTACACAGTTTTTACCATTTTGCAGACATTTTGGTCATCGGAGGCCAAGCAGTGAAGCTTTGTAGGCGCCCAAAGTGAATGTTTTCTTATGCATCTTATTATTAGTATTTCTTTTTATGCCATTGAAGTCTATCTATAGCAAACCCAGATAGTAAAAACTTGGAGAAAGACTGATTCTTTTCCCAAGTTTCCTGTCTGTGACTCAAAGTTGAAGGTGTGTTCATCCATCCGTCTAACTTCTGGAACCACACACCCGATTTTCAAAATGGAGATATCGCTGGATTCCTTGGATCAAGCTGAGTTCAAAGAACCCTGTGACATAAACTTCTGCCAAACTGGATTTTTCTTAAAAAGCTTAAACGTAAAGTTAGATGAAACCTTACAATATTTATCGTATCTCGCTTTTTGGGTGGCTGTGGCTCAGGTGGTAGAGCGGGTTGTCCTCCAATCACAAGGTTGGTGGTTCGATCCCCTCCACAGTCAAAGTGTTCTTGGGCTAGACACTGAACCCGAAGTTGCTCCCAATAGCAGGCAGCACCTTGCAATGCAGCTCTGTCACCATTGGTGTGTGAATGGATAAATGAGTAACACACTGTAAAGCGCTTTGGATAAAAGCGTTATATAAGTGCATTTACTGTTTTGAGTTTTGAACACATTCACCTGTCATATCCATCAGCATCAAATCTGCCTCGTCAGGTCACATCTTATTGATACAGGACTCGTCATCCCTTCCTAAAGTCGACCAATGTGGTTTTCACCAAAGAATTTAGCTCAAAGGAAGTTTCGTCAAATGCTAAAAAATCTTCACTGAAATCACCTACAACTGCCTCGTTGCTAACATGAGCTGCAGTGTGAACTACATGAAGGTTACAGGAGGCCTGTTGCTCCTGTGTGACCCATGACATGGTCACACGCTGCCTCATATCTGTGATAACAGCAACTGTTTGACATTTACTGGTATTTCCCATGGTTGTGGAGAGGCCTCGCTGCAGTACGAACAGCCACCATAAGATGTTTTTCTCTTTGCATCTTTTTAATATTTATATCCAGCTGTGAAGGAGAATTCAGTACACGTCAGTATATGCAAAATAGCTACTTGCACATGTGCCTTCATGAATTTAGATGTCTTTGTTTAAGTGGAAATAGGTTTCACATTTACAGTTCTTATGTCTGATACAACCACTTGACTGACGTTGTTCTTCCTCCTCAGCAGCCCAGAGCCACTTCCTGTCTCAGTTCCTGCTTGATGGCGGGAGCGTCGGCGTTCCTCAGCATTTGTACAGCATTCATTCCCAGACTTACGACAACAGCAGCGCAGCCAGCCGGGTCCGTCCGCCGCCGGTCAGCTCCATCTTCCCGGTACCCGACGCCCAGCAGGTTAGAGATCAGCCCCTCCAGGACAGAAGCACGGTGACTGCAGAAGCTGCCGTCCGACACGTGGACAGCAGCTCGCTATCCGAGGATGATGTTTTTTACAACTAGGCTTGGGGAAAGAAGACAAGCCAGCAATCTTGAAGGCAATCTGGAAAAGGAGCCTCAGTGAGAGGACTTGAGTCTCAATCACCAGCAATGAGTGACAGAAAAAATAAAAGGCGGCAGCTGTGAGATCCCACTAGAGGCAACTCCTCAAATGGCTTTTCCTGGAACGCTATAAGAGCTGCTCCTCAAACACAAAGACTCCAAATGGTACTTTTTCCTTGGCTGAAGCATATGTACATATTTAACTGTTGCATTTTTTAAATTCAATGTACATGAAACAATTTTAATAATATGTGTGAGTGCAAACTGTGAACATTCAAATGGTGTAAATATCTTGTTATTAAACATGAGTTTGGATATATGGGCTGTATAGTTGTGTTTTGGATCCCATTTCCTTTCACATTCATGGACTGGAGAGATAAATCTGGACAACCTACAGACAGGATATCACCAAGAAATTGAAAATGTGTCTCCTCTGAGATTTCTCATCTGCATATGGAGAAAAGGGAACGAAAGCACATCCAATTATCTGTCTGGGCCTCGACTGTGATTAGCTATAATTCACTTTTCTGTCTGAGAGCCACAGGTGCAGGAGAGCAGCGACAGAAAAGACGGGGGCAGGACACGGGATCGCCGTGCTGCATGTGGTTCGTGTGCATTTGTGCATGTGTGTCAACAAGCCGGCGTGTTTGACGGTGAGCGACGGCTGCTGAATGGAGGCGTGACCGTGTCCTGTCACGGCGTCCTTTTAGCAAAGAGGGAAGCTTTGGTGTGTCGTGGCTTTTCCCCTTTTGTTGTTTCTGTGCAGCTCTGACTGGTGTTCAGAAAGTGGATAAAAACCAGAACAAAAGGCTGCGCGTGACTCGTCTGATCACATCTGTCATCAAGTTCGTTTGCAGTCTATTTAATGCTCCAGTGCAGCAACAGCTTGCTTTGTTTTAAGAAGATGGAAGTGAAAGACGACAGCATCACAGAGTGACAGTACTGGTGTGTTTTGTTGGTCTATAGGTGTACAGTTTTAGAACATGATGTAAAAGCAGAATCATCAAAATAAATAAAGGTCTGAAAACAACAGGAAACCAGCAGCTGAACAGGAACAGGAGCTGCTTTTCAACAGTAGGATTCAGTCTCATTTAGAAGCCTATAGAGCCCAAAAACAACACGATGGAAAGACGTCCGATAGACTAGTAAGAAGCTTTGAACATTAAAAACAGACATTTTCAAAATAGTCAAATGTTCTTGTCACTGTTTCAGGTAACCAGACGTTTGCTTGTAATGTGTTGTTGAGGTTGTGAAAGAGTGTCAACCCTTTGAAGCCAAACCAAGACCTCTTAAGACCTGGTGTCCACATGCATGGACATCACATGTTGGGTTGTATTACCAAAGCAGTTCATTCTGCTGAACTGGGGCCTTATGGCCTCGTGTGTGGACACTTACAGGACCATCTATCATGAGTTATAGTTTTTATACTTATCAGGTTCCAGTAAGCCCAAACAGCAAAGAGAGAAAAAAAAGTATTCCAGACAAGAGCTTGTGTCTCCCATCCATCCATCATCTCTACACCTTAATCCTCACCAGGGTCATGGGGGGCTGGAGTCTATCCCAGCTGACTCAGGGTGAAGGCAGGTTCACCTGGACAGGTAACCAGTCTATCACAGGGCTACACTTAGAGACAGACAACCAAGCACACTCACATTCACACCTACGGACAATTTACAATCACCAATTAACCTCAGCATGTTTCTGGACTGTGGGAGGAAGCCGGAGAACCCGGAGAGAACCCACGCTGCACGGGGAGAACATGGAGACTCCACGCAGAAAGATCCTGGGACATGAACTGGTGATGTCCTAGCTGCGAGGCAACGATGCTAACCACCGCTCCACCTGCCACCTAACCACCGAGCCATCCTGCAGCACAGCCCGGGTCTTAAGAGGTTAAATAAAATAAGTAGTTTTGGTGATGAAACCTAAACAACAGGAAGTAAAAACTAAATTTAAGTCATCAAATTAAATGAAACTAGTGCAGGACTACTGGACAGAAGCCTTCATGAGGCTCTTTTAAACTACAAACACTCCTGTATGTCCATCAGCGTTCAGTCAGACTCACCGGATGTAGAACGTGGATGTAAGCAGCTGAACATTTCACCCGTCTGTCAGCTAAATTTACGATCTCAGCGTGTTACTGTTATCAAAATCTGACTGATTTAAAGAAATACAAACAAGTGCGTTTTTTGTCACTGTATGATAATAAGTTGCAGCCCGACCGTTGTCGTCTGTTCAAAGAGTTCCTCAAAGGATAATTCTAGTTTAAAAATGCAGTCGTGTCTTTTCTATCACTACCGCTTGGAGGAGCCAGCGTCTGAACACAGCAGCTTTAATTCAGGGCTGTCTTAAATAGAACTAATAAATCATAAGGTAAAATACTGAGTCATACGCATCCTACAAGATACCAGCAGGATCTAGGTGTCATGCATTTGGGATGGTTTACTCATCCAAGGGACACTTCAACTCCTTGTGACCTGATTTTCATACACAAATGGAAACCAACGGCTTAAACTCATGACACGCTTGGAGGTTTTAAAAACTACCGGTTTGGGATGCACACAGCCGTCTGTAGATCTGTGAGAACATTGCGAACAGGAACTGCTGATAGTGAATTCAGCATACATTTAAAGGGAACACAGTCTCACTTTCAATTCATCACTTATGGACACAGCTGCTGTCTAGATGCTCCTGGTGCCTCCTCGGTGCAGCACACGGATCAGCACAGTCCTACCAGGGAGGTTGGACGGGTGGTAGCAGACAGACGATCTACCTGATTAAGCTTAGGCACCAAAATACAGAAAAAAACAAGCAAACTAAAGGAATGATGCTTAAATTATAACCTACAGCTTGAACATAGCACGTCTATTTCACATCTCCCAAAGTAAATAAATCATGGAAGCTGTACTCCTTAAACCAAAAGTCCATTCGGTGTATTTCATGACAGAGGATGCTGCAGGTCCATCTTTGCTGGCTGAGGTTCCTTCAGAACATGGTAAAAGCACACAGCTTGTGTTTAAACATACAGAACAAGCCGACAGGAGCTGATACATATTCAACAGACACTGACTGAGAAGTGTGGTCTAGCAGGAAAAACACACCAGCAGGGATTCGTTGTGCTATCAGTACACAACCGTGTTTCAGGCTTCTGTGTTCAGACCCACTGGGTGTGACACATTCATAAACGTCACAAAGAATAGATCAGCGAATTAACTGATGCTGCTAGTTACAAGAAAAGGCCAGACAATGAGCTCTGATGCATGTTTATCACAGGAGCTTCCAGTTAATGACAGCTTTGTACAAATATTGTCACACTTGAGGAATGATGAAGTGTTATCATGACAAGAAAACGCTTCCACACGAGCTGATCACACAGAGATGGATTTATGTTTGTTATGGGACGTGTTTATTTCCTGTGTGATGCTGCTTAGATTTCTTTGGCCAAGTCCTCCAAGATTCTCTTCATCTGGAGGAGAAAGTAAAGGAAAGAAAGACACTGCTATGAATCTATAAGTAGCCATTTTGCCTCCTACAACCTCCATCCATCCATCATCTATATATCTATATTAATCCTCACCAGGGTCATGGGGGGCTGGAGTCTATCCCAGCTGACTCAGGGTGAAGGCAGGTTCACCTGGACAGGTAACCAGTCTATCACAGGGCTACACTTAGAGACAGACAACCAAGCACACTCACATTCACACCTACGGACAATTTACAATCACCAATTAACCTCAGCATGTTTCTGGACTGTGGGAGGAAGCCGGAGAACCCGGAGAGAACCCACGCTGCACGAGGAGAACATGGAGACTCCACGCAGAAAGATCCCGGGTGTCCTCACCGGGACGCTTCTAGCTGTGACACCATGGTGCTAACCACTGAGCCACCGAGCATCCCTCCTCCTACAACCTGCATATATTTAATAAATCCATCTTGTTTGAAAAAATAAAGTGTAATTGGATGAGACAAACACCCACAGAGGAGTCCAACAGAATCACACAGGGACGGCACTGAGACAACATTAAAGACTGTATTTGTGATTTCAGGTGACTGTGGACACTCTTTACCTCTGACCATGTGATCCGCCCCAGTAGCCTTCCTCTGTCTGCTACGAACAGCGTCTGGGCTCCGACTAGACTCAGCAAACTGAGAGTCTGGAAGAACACGGGGGGGAAAAGGAGAAGTTCACTACTTTAGGAAAGATTTGGAAAAGAGAAGATAAATACTCCTCATGTCATTAAATCTGCAGTAACGGTGCAGCAGGAACAAGTTGTAAACACGTTCATTTTTCATTGACGTGGCCTTTTTAGACAACAGATGTTTATTTATGGTTGATACGGAGCATTTGATTAACGTTCACTCTCTGTTAGATCAGTTTTTTGGTCTCTACCAACTCCTGAGGGAATCATCCTGCTCTTTACCCACTAAAAGCTGCACTGCATTTACTGTCTGCTGTTTGGTGTTAAGTAGCATAAAGTGGATTTTTATTGATGAGAACAGCTACAAAGTGAGATTAATGAGTTAGCAGGTATGTTGAGCCTGAAGTTTCCAGGGTCCTGAAGGTGGCTCTCCTTCAGCTCACTGATCCTCCTGCATCCTTTTCTTTTGTAAAGTCAGATTTTTAAAATTCTCTTGGACTTCTTTTCAACACATGTAGATAGTCTGTAGGTCCAAAACGGAGAAAGTTCTGGGGAGAGGTGAGAAAGTTTTCTCATATTAATACATGCTGTGTACATTTTCCAGAATCCTTCTACCTCTTGGACGGTGCTGTGAGGCGATAACAGGACCGAGGTTGGGTGAATGCAGCAGACCTCGTCCAGACGTTTCTCCAGACTCTGCACAGAACAACACGAACACATTCACGTTGAGCTGGTGTCAGTATGCAGCAGCAGTCTGTATTAGTTGTTGTTTCTATTCCCTGGAAAAAAGTATTTATAGTTTATCTACGGCCTCGCCACAATCCCATCTTTTTTAAAAGCCATTTTTGATAAGCAGCTCTATTCTTATCAAGTATTTTCCGGTGACTCGATTATGCTTCAAAAAGGAAACGAGCTGTCGCAAAATGAGCTTTTACAGCAGCAGTCGTGTCTGTGAATCCTGCTCCCGTCCTCTTTCTGTGGCTGTTTTACATTCAGTCAGTGTCAAACGGATTGTAAAGACACGACCTGTTTTTTAAACTGCCTCCCTCTTGCAGCTCCCTGTCTATCTGCACAAAGCCTTTACCTCAGCCTCGCAGCGACGCAGGAACATCAGCAGCTCCGGTCGCAGAACAAACCCCAGCAAAACCTGCGACTCTTGAACAGAAGACAGGAGAGCAAATCAATTTTCTTTGCCACAGTCGGTGCTGCAGTTTAAAGTGCGTGCGGCTCTCCAGTGGCCTTCAGGTGTGTGTTCTGGACATAAGAATTCATCCATGTGATTGCTGCTCAAGGGCTCAGGTGACCACTCGACTCGGCTCCTATTTCCTCTGTATCATTCCTCTCTTTTCCATTCTTTGGCTCTATGTGGTGTCATAACCCGGTGCTTGACCAACATGTGAATGATACTTACTTAGATATCCTACTAACATTGTGCCAATGTTCCATTTCCTCAAGAGTTTTATATCTTTTCTCGTGATGACAGAACACTGGTAATGCTCCAAGTAGAAGATTGAGGTGAATTTATATTGAAATCGTTGGTTTGCTCACCGTGTGACTCCACCACAGGGATTTGTGTGTCGGTGCTGCTGACAGCGTTCTGAACCTCCGCTGGCCCGGCTGCTTTTTGAAGCTGGACTGATTTCACTCCCAGAACCCGTCCAACTGGTGTGGAGGGAAGCCTGCAGAAGATATAAACGGTGTCACACCAGGAGTTAAACAGCTGGGCTCCGAAGAAATTACAACCTATTAAATCATATCAGCCAACGGGGCAGCTGTTTGATTATCAGATGTGTTCTCAGGATTTACAAAATGACGTGTGATTGTGGAAACGGTCACAGTTTGTTCTCAGGAGCAAACAGAAGCAGCCCTCAGCTTGTGTGATGCTGGTTGGAGGAGACAGCCTCGACTGTCAGGGCAGCAAAGAGCTTCACGCCACAAACGTTTTGTTATTCCAGAAATACTATCAGGTAGATTCAGATGTCTGGCAGACAGCAAGATAATCTACAAGGTGTCTAAATTTGTAATCACAACCTGAAGTCCTGGTGAGAAGCAGATAAAATCCTCTGCTGGGCCGAGGAAGGAGAAATGAAATGTGATGTTGTAGCTTGATTCTGAGAGAACATCTGTCACACTTTATTACAAAACCCTCTCTACGTTCAGACATTTACATTCAGCCAGAGGTGTTTGGCCTGAGCATCTCGCCCCAAATGTTTTATGAATAGTTAGAGATCATTTTTTATTAAAAGTTTTCTTAAAAGTCTTGCTCTTATTATGTCTCAGAGTTGTGTTGACATGAAGTTTTTTTGGAGGAAATCTCTGATCAAATCAGGATCCTACAGTTCTCAGGCTCCATGACTTCTCTAACAAAGTTAATGGCATCCATCCGTTTAGTTCTCACCTACCGAGGACACGCCTTCTTCAGGGAGGGCAGGTGTGGGAGCCTCTTGCTGATGGAGAGGGCATCGTAGAAGGATGGGCGGTGGCCAGAGCGAGCCAGGCCATTGGCCAGCAGAGTGGCAAGGAGGATGGGTACAGCATGGCTGAACTGGCCCGTTAGCTCCACGGCCACGAGAACCGGAGACAGTGTGTGTGTGACGGCGCCGGAGAACGCTGCTGCACCTACAAATCATAAACCGAGCTTCAGTTACAAACATCATTTTACCTGTAGGTAAGATTTAGATAAGACATTATACACAAGCTCATCAGCCACAACATTAAAACAGATGAAATGAATGAGATGTTGTTACAGTGACATGCTGCTGGGAAACTCCTGGTGTTCATGTGGATGTAGCATGGACAAGCACAACCCACCAGAGCTGCCACAGTGCATCCTACAAAAACTGTTCAGGAATGGCTCGAGGAACACAACAAAGAGCTCACTGTGTTGTGCTGATCAAGCCTCTAAACTCCATCCATAATCTCTACACCTTAACCCTCACCAGGGTCATGAGGGGCTGGAGTCTATCCCAGCTGACTCAGGGTGAAGGCAGGTTCACCTGGACAGGTAACCAGTCTATCACAGGGCTACACTTAGAGACAGACAACCAAGCACACTCACATTCACACCTACGGACAATTTACAATCACCAATTAACCTCAGCATGTTTGTGGACTGTGGGAGGAAGCCGGAGAACCCGGAGAGAACCCACGCTGCACGGGGAGAACATGGAGACTCCACGCAGGAAGATCCCGGGTGTCCTCACCAGGACGCCAACCGGCGACCTTCTAGCTACGACGCAACAATGCTAACCGAGCCACCTTGCAGCCTGTCTTTAAACTCTCCAGGTACAAATACAATCAAGCCCCTGAGAGACCCATCCTGCAACCCACTCTCACCAGAGGTCCTGTATCCCTGCACCAACAGGTCGGAGCTGTGAAGGAAACCTACACAATATTTTCTCAGGGTTCTTAATGTACCAGCTGCCTATTGTATGTATCACTGGTCACCTTTGTCCTCTTTTGGATAAGATGCAGTTTTTCAACTTTACATACTTTACACACACACACATACATTTTGTTAAAAGATATTAGCGAAAGGCAGATTTGGTGTGGGGATAATAACACTGCAGATGTAGCTGCCTGTCATATCAATGCCAAAGAGTTCCTGATGAAATTTGGTTTTACCAGCGAGTGCATAGCCTCCAGGGTTTATAGAAGCCCACTGCTGGTCTGAGCTCTCTCCAGCAGAAGATATGTAAGCGACTCCTTCCCCAAGCAAACGGCCAATAGCTGCCCCTGGAAAACAAAAGAAACACTTACCGGTACCAGGGAAAACCCTCACTATGGTTTTATGTTGTGAAGACAGAATGCAATGACACAGACTTCTAATCTGTACATTTCAATATTCTGCTAAAATCTCCTTCCTCACCGTAGACGAACACTGGCATGAAGTATCCGGCGGGCAGAGGAAGCGTGCAGGCGAGGACCAGCATCCACATCTCACAATCAACAACAGACACACACACGGTCAAATATTTAAAGCTCTGCCAACACCTGCAGCACAGCAGATGACTCACGTTTGGTCTGTGCACTGGGAAATGTTTGCAGTGTTCTCAGTTTTACATAAATAAATATTAAATCGTGCACATTTACATGTGGTAATGGGAGAAAACCTCACAGTAAATGGATCCTACGCTGGTTTCTCTCAGAGTTTAATGCAGTGGGGTAGCAGCGGTCAGAAACTGTCCTCACTGCAGAAATATTTACATTTCAAGCTGTTCCTGCAACATTAAGGTTTTCTGTCTGTTTGGAACACAAATGAGAAAAAGGTGTATGTGCACCACCAGTAACTCAGCCATTACTTTGCTGGTTGCAGGTTTCCAGCTGTTAAATGTCACACAATTGTTCCTTAAACCTGCAGCGTTGCTATGAGTGAGCTTCAAGTGTCACAAAACATTTCAGCATTAAAGGTTTCTTTTGTTCACTTATGCTATTGTCCATCTATTATCTCTGCACCTTAATCCTCACTAGGGTCATGGGGGGCTGGAGCCTATCCCAGCTGACTCAGGGTGAAGGCAGGTTCACCTGGACAGGTAACCAGTCTATCACAGGGCTACACTTAGAGACAGACAACCAAGCACACTCACATTCACACCTACGGACAATTTACAATCACCAATTAACCTCAGCATGTTTGTGGACTGTGGGAGGAAGCCGGAGAACCCGGAGAGAACCCACGCTGCACGGGGAGAACATGGAGACTCCACGCAGGAAGATCCCGGGTGTCCTCACCAGGACGCCAACCGGCGACCTTCTAGCTACGACGCAACAATGCTAACCGAGCCACCTTGCAGCCCCATGTTGGGTGTGTCACCAATTAACCTCAGCATGTTTCTGGACTGTGGGAGGAAGCCAGAGAACCCGGAGAGAACCCTAGTGAGGATTAAGTGGTCTATAGATAATGGATGGATGGATGGATGGATTGTTTGTACCTTCATGAGGAGAAAGACGGCCAAAGAGACGTAGACTGGAGTCCCTGACGAGCTCCATCCCAGCAAAGGCTCAACCTGCACAGAGGCATTGTGGGACTGGGAGCTCCACGACCCGTTATCCAGCAGGGAGGTGAGCAGCTGCTTCATGGTGAACTGACAATCAGATTATTGACGTTTGGATTACTGAACAACAAAGCAGGTATGATTAAAAACAGCTTTGAAGGCTGGCGTTGTTCTGTGTGTTTTACACAGTGAGGCAGAAAACAGCTGCTAAAAGTTAGAACCAATAAAAGGAAAACATTAAAACAGTGTTGGGTCTAGTAATGCAATTATAACAACATGACAATTCAATATGTTTGTGCAGGCTAGGATCAGATGTTTGGGGACGATTTTCAGCTGTTTTAGTGTAATAGTGAGTATTTACAGCAGCATGGTGGTGCACACATGAATAAAGTATTTTTCATTTCATTCATTCATTTCACACGGGGCTGATTCAAAACAACAACAACAACAGGCCTCACTGGTATCTAATATTTGTTTAGATGACAGTGGAGCTCTATGGAAAAGACATCAAGGTGTTGGTTTGGATCGTTTCAGGAAGAACAACAAGGATTATCTGCAGGCTTTTCCTACAATCCCTGCACCAAAGATGAAAGAATCTCCTCCAAAGCTTCTGGTTCATCAGCTCACACACAGAACAGCTAAATCAGCACTGTAGAGGGTTTATAACATTATTAAAGTCTGTTAACTGGATTAAAACATCCTGATCAGTTGATAAACAGGACATTTGTGTGGCATTAATAATGTATGTATGTATGTATGATTCCCACCTTAGAAGCCATGAACTGACCAGCAGAATGAGGGAATGTCAGCGATGCCAGGAAGAAGACCACTATGCCGGAGTACAGACCCTTCCTGCACAGAGGTTTTTAAGGTCATTCCAGCTGACAGTGAATCAGGTTTCAATCAGTCAGCAGCTGTTTGTCACATCAGAATCAGACCTGAATCCAGTTCTAGTGTCTCTGGCTTTCTTCAGCTAAATAAAAGAAAGCTGTCAAATTTTAAAAATATACAAATATATTGCAGATAATTCTAAGCACATTTGAATGTAGCTGGAAACAGCCCTGCACTGATTCATCGCTGCCATGTCATGAAAAGCTCTCACTCTGTTGTCAGCATCCTGATGAAGACTGGCTTCGTTTTGGTAAAGTGCAGAATCCAACGATGACAGAAGAGGTAGAGGCAGCACACGACCCCACACAGCAGCCTGTTTCCACACAAACACAAACCACAGCGAGAGAAACAACAACACAGGCAGCAGCAGAAAATCAGAAGTCATTAGGCCAGGAAGTGATCGCAATGAGAACTAATTATTACAGAAGGAAAACACAGAAGAGCTGTTTCACCTTGATATGAATAATAATAATGTGTGCTTTTATTTGTAAGACACAGACAGAGAGAGCACTATGCAGATGCTGTCAAATGAAACGTACCCCAGGAAGGCAAACAGCAGAACCTCCAGTGGGTAGAAAGGTACAGCGGTCGGGAAATTGGTTTTGAACAAAGCCTGAAGAGTCTCTGGGGGCACAAAGCAAATTGGAGTCATCGCTCCGGTTTCTCCCACAGCCGTTCAAAATCTAATAGTCCCCAGCATTATTGAATTGAAACTTTATTGAAATTTACAATCTGCCAGCTCAAATGATTTCGCTAATTTTGCTGAGAGTGATGTCGCCGCTCATTGTGCAGGCAGATAATTAGACAGCTGTCAGCACAGTTTACAAAGGAAGGGAAAGAAAGCATTGAAATTAATTGTTGTTGTTTTTTTAAAGATTATGTTAAAAGTGAAAATATAAGATTCTCATGAGAAAAAAGTGCTTAAAATTAGAATTTGAGGATGCTTATTGCCAAACAAACAGTATGTAGGGAACAAAACAGAATGTCAGACCTTTTACAGATCACTGATGGTCATCTGTTGACATACATGCTGCATCACCAACAATATGAGCACACCACAACATTGAGCTAATGAAGCTACAAGCATGTCTTCATAACTGGCACGATAAACATATCTGTATACAGAAGCCATAAGCTCACGTTATATTAGTGACCAGCGTGACTTGTTGTCTGTATTCTTGTACTCATCACATGTTTGTTTCTTGGGATTATCATGGGAGGTAAATGCTGCTTTTTGGGTCATCTGGTGTTCGTTGTATTGGGCTTCTGCTTTTTTTCGTTTGTTTGTTTTTTAAGTATCTGTTACGTTGGATGAGGAGGACTCCTGGCTTCTGCTGTGCCTTCTCGTCTGAAAGACAACTTGTACTTGTGCTTTGAAGATTTCCCACAGCATTGACTGTTGAGCATTTTATTCCAACTTTACGGGCACTGGTTTGCTGCTGCCACAGCTCCCACTCACCTGGGAGGGCTTTATTTAGGACACCTGGTGAACCATACACCATTTCTTAAAGCACCTTACTTTGTGTAGGAGGGCAGAAGAATATTGTTGTGGCATTAAGGTTCCCTTCACAAGTGTCCTCCAACAAAAAAAAATAGACCAAAACTACTCAAAAGGGCTGTGCATGTGTTTTTGCCACATGATAGACTCGTAGGCGGCCTAAATCAACATCACAACCAAATCTAGTCTTAGATGTTAAATTACTGGGCTTTTTGTAGGCCGAGGTGTCAGTGGCTCTGAAGTGAACCTTCTCCCAGTCGACCATGAGGGGGCGAGTGCTGACCATTACCTCCATCTCCACTCCACACAGAGAGCAGGCGGAAGGTCGCCGCCCCGCAGGCGGCCGAGAAGAAGCACGGGCAGTAATGTCTGACAGCAAAGTGAGAAGTCATCACCTCCACGCTGAAGAGCACGCCTACAGGAGGAGAGGAGAGGAGAGGAGAGGAGAGGAGAGNCAGGTAAGCCGGTGAATCGAGCTCCCATTAATTATTACCTGTGTGGCAACATTTGCATGTAAAGCTGACCATCTATATGAAAATCAGTTCGCCACCAAGAGGTGACCTTCCAGCCCCTCCACGGTCTACCATGGGGGGGATCCGACCCTCTGTCTGCTGCATTATGTAACAGCCAGCAGCTGAAGCAGACACGAGCCAACTGGTCCAACAGTCTTTGTGAGAGCCAGTGTGAGTTTTAGATCACTGAAGAAGGACATGCTGGAAAAGTGAGGACCTTTCTGATGGCCCTCACGTTTCTCTCTCTGTGTGTGTGTGTGTGTGTGTGTGTGTGTAGAGGTGACCCAATGTCAGCGGTGGAACAGCATGGATTACTGACTGCTGGATCACATTCACGCTCTCACTGCCATTCTGTTCCTGGCGTGCTCCCAGAGATAATTATTAGCAATAGTTTGTCTTGTTTGTTGATTCAAGGGGATGATGCTCATGTTTCTCTCACTTTTTAAAAAATAGTTTGGCTCTACCTTTAGTGTTGAACTTAATTAAAGAATTGTTCACAGCTCTAACCTCACACAGCTCATTGCATTTATTGTTCATCTACGTTCACTCTGTCCTACATGTTCGATTAAAGCCTTAAAGTGTCAGTTATTCTTGTTACCTGAACACCATCCATTCTCTTTTGGCCTCTATTTTGTTCAAACAGAATTTCCCGGTGACCCTCCCTGTTTCATACTCCAGACTTTAACTGATAAACTCTGGCTATGCTGTTCCGTCTCTGCTGCCTCTTTACTGAGTTTCCCACCCTCTCCCATCATCCTTTGCTCCTTCTGTATTCTCTCCTATCCACTCCCATCTGGCACGCTCTCGTCTTCGTCCAGCTCTTGTCGTCTCGCCATCGTCTAATTCCTCCCCAGTGGAGCTTCCATGCTCACATCCCTCTTCCATTCTCTGGAACGGCAGCCTGGTTGCCAGCTTTACGGTTTAAACACTGTTGGAGGATCTCATCTGATCTGCTTTCTTGTCACGTTGAACGTTTGTGAGTTCAAGCAGATTAATGTTCCCTTCCCATGTTGGTTTGTTTGATTACTTGTACGTCATAAACATAATTGAAAGGCTGGAGGAAAGGGAGAAATTATAAAAATGACGGGGATTAAAAAACACCAGCGTCACTGACGCTTCATGTAATATGCATGTTTTGCTGACGAACAGCAGCTGTGGTCTGGTGGCAGCTCCTTTAGAGGTAAAACACAGTCAGGCCGCTATGACCCAACAACACTGCTGCTGTTACCAGGGAGGGGAGGAGGCTCTGTGTGCTCCCCGGTAGGGAGGTGATGAGTTGCTGGGCTGGATTTAGACCTCCAGTCCAGAGCTCTGTGCTGATAAGACTGGAAACAAACAACATACTGTGGTTTCATTTGTAAGGAACCTTTCAAACTTCAAAATAAAAGGTGACCGTCTCGGCTGCTTTCACTTGATTCTACTGGCGGAGGTCAAAGGCTTCGATCTCCAGCGCCGTACCGTTTACTGGCTTTACACCTGACGCCCGTAAATTACAGGCAGCCAGCTGTTGACTGAAAGTCAAATCTGCAACGTCAAAAGAGCCAATAAATGGATTTTATTGGATGAGCTGTCAGCCGCAGTGACTACAGAGACAAGCAGTGAGTGTTTTCTGATCATGATTAGCTGCGCTCTCCGTATAGATATTAATAGCCGCAGAGCAATGTCACTACTAAGTCCCTGGCCCTGCTCATGGCTTTGTTTTCAAGCACATTCTTTCCATCTTTGTTTTGCTCTTTACTTATCCTCTGAGATAAGAGCTACGGCTCCTTTGTCACTTTTCACTTTAGCAACCACCTCATTGGTCCAGAAGATCATTTTGGCTATTTCATGTTTAACCGATAATAAATAAAAACTAATAAAGAGACAAACTGAAGAGAGATTTTTTTTTTTTAAAAACCGAGGCCTGGAAAACCATCTAATGACACGAAGCCCTGCTGTGAAAACGTCAGATTCAGTATCATTTAATATCAGAACCATGTGTGGATCCAATTTCGGGTCAAGACGTGGAGCTGAATATTAAGAAAGCAGAGGGAAGACAGATGGAGCGATAGAGTGGAGCAGGAATTAAAGAGAGGATAAGGAAGCTATTTCAGGGATGGTGTGTGTGGAATGGCAACTGTTGTCCCGCCCTGCTCATTCTCTACCTCTCTCTATCAAATCCCACTCTCTCTCTCTCTCTTCACTTCAGGCCCTTCAATGCCCAGAACTTTTCCAACCACAGACCCTTCTCTCCATCACTCTGTCTCTGGTGATAAATATAGAACACTAGTACTCTTTCCCAACAAGCTGCGACACACGTGCCACCTCCCAGCCACGCATGGGATTGTTGGGTATATAAGGCCCACTGTGGGTGGCTGCAGGACACTGTACAATAACTCATCTCACCTCACAGGAACAAGGGGAAAAAAGCAAGCGAGCGAAGAAAGAGAGAAGAGCTGTGTGCTTTAGTTCTAATAATTTAAGCCTCTGGACGAGTCCCAGAGCAGCCACAGGACGAAGCAGCTCCCTCCGCCTCCTCCTCCTTCACTCTCCTCCTCTGCCTCACCCAGCGCTCACAGCCATCCATGAGTGTGACCAACTCCTCTGCCTATCGATCGGAGCGTAGTTTCCACCAGACTTCATCCTCGACTTCGTCCTCTGGTAACCCATACATGGAGAAGAGCCGAGGACTGTTCGCTGAGGACTTTGGCTCGTTCATGAGGCCCGGGAGTGACACCTTGGGGTTTTCCAGTAAGTTGGAAGCAAATTAAAAAATCTCTGGAAGTCATGTTGTACAGAACCAGGGTGTAACAGTTAAAGATAGGGGAAGAGGGAGCTTTGACTGTTAAGATGATTTATGTCTCTGCTTTGGCGTTGGTGTTTTTCGCCATAAGGTGCTAATGAAACATGTCCGAGGTGACACTTCAGAGGAAGAAGACAGCAGGCAGGACTAGAAGGCAAAAAGGACTCTGGTGTGTTTGTGGACGAATGTTTTGTGTCAGCGAGACTGTATCCATGGTGCTGAAAAGAAAGCAGATGTACACAGTGAGCATTCAGCTTTCTGTTGTAGGGATATGAAGTGTTTGCATGTGAAGTATAACATCTAATGTCAGGTGAGGAGATCTTTTAGTTGATGTGAGCTGCTCTGTATCAGCTCGGTGGACGCAGACACGCGACTGTGTGACATCTGATCTTCAGATGGACTCCCAGCCCATGTGCTCCTTGCGTCAGAGGCGTAGCACGATTGTTTTGGAGCTGTGGTCGGTATCCCATAGGTGCAGAGCAGAGGCTTCGGGGTGGGTGCTGCTGGTAAAGGGAGAGAGAGAGACGCACACATGTGTACGTGCACAAAGCGTCCAGGAATGCTGGACCGACTGCCAGCAGTGTGACTTCACACACCGAGTATCTGGGATGACGCCTGCATAAGGAATGGCCAGATGGTTGCCCGGTGACCACTGTACACACACACACACACACACACACACACACACACACATGGTTGGAATGATGTCACATAATTAAACTAACCTGCAAATGTGAAGTCCGAGCTCCACACACACACTCGTTTCCAGTCGGGGGGTATGTGTGTGAGGTCATGTGTTAACACCGTGTCCCTCGCTGAGCTCAGTGTCGGTGGGAACACTCAGTCATCACCGGGCAGACAATACATCTGACTATTATTCTCTGCCTGTCCTGTTGGTGTTTGCTGCTGCTACAAACCTGTTTTTATACAACAAAAGCTGTACCACATAACATTGTTCTATTAGAAATGGATTTATAATTGTTTTTGCTGTGCTAACAATGACAGACCTTCAAACTAAGTGTTGCCTCTTTTAACTTTGGTGTTGTCTGCTTTCCAAACGCTGCTCTCAGCAGCAACAGGCAGATGGTTTCTCAGGAGCTGGTGGAGGCCAAAGTAACCATCAGATTATATTAATCAGGAGGACAGAGAGGACTCCTAATTAATGTTAAGTTTCTGCGTGTCTGCTGGACCGGTAGGCATCAACATCTTTATAACATCATAGCACCAAATGTTGCTTAAATTCAGTCGTACTGGTCAAAAAACATCTGCAGCTTTAAACACACACACACAAAGCCGTACGCTGTATGCATCCAAATTAAAATGACAGAAATTTGAAATTTGAAATTCATGAATATAATTATTGGTAGCTTGCCTCGTTAGAAGGAAAATGCAGAATTCATATCATAAGATTTTACAGTGACTCCATGTTGCTGAATGCAGTTGGCGGCAGCGCTGCTTCCCAACAAAGAAAACTACATTAAGAGCAGTTTAATTCTAAAACGTCCCCAAATCTGGGATACTAACATGGTCTGCAGTGTGCCATGAATTCAGCCTCTTCTGTCTCTACAAAGCTGCTCTGTTAAAAGTGGGAAAGGTAAAGAGTAATCCCTTCTTTTTCAATAATAATTTTTTTAATAGACTTGATTAAAACTGTGTTTATTTTTTTGCTGAACAGATAGTTTTAGACAGTATCAATCCAAACATGGATTTGATTAGCAACTAACCATTTGTAGATTTATATTAAATATGCTGCTGATCTATACATACTAAGAAAGAATTGTGTTCAGCTGTACTTTTTTTTTTCTTCTGGTATCGAATCCACTGCTAACATCAGACGACACGGTCACTTTGTTTTTAGTTTTTTTTTTCCACTGGAAATGATGACTGTAGGAAAAGCTGAGGTGATACTAATAACCTGATGTCTTTTCATAGAACAACACAACTCCAAATAACTGACAGCCTGTGAGCAAGATGCTCTCTCTAATCCCCCAATAAACACCATCTGCAAGGTGCTGTAATTATGAGCAGCCCACAATTTCCAGACAAGAGAAATGTGAGCTCATAGTAAGTGAGAATCGTGCCATCAAGAGAGATCATGTATGTAAATATACTTAACTGTGCTTCTCCTTCGGTCTAATACCCTTTATCCTCTTGGGGTGGTTTCAGGTGGTGCTGGAAACATCAAAACTCTTGAGGATTCGTACCAGTTCACAGTCGATGTTCGAGACTTCTCCCCTGAAGATGTCATCGTCACCACATCCAACAACCAGATCGAAGTTCGTGCAGAAAAGGTGGGCGTCCTTCCTTTGGCTTTGGAACGACGATATGTGTCTGGAGCCCTGAGAATGAATCACATTTAAAAAGTTCTGTGACCTTTAAATATGAGCAAAAGAAGCCTTTTTAACCGTGCCATCTATGTTCACTCACATGTCTTTTGCAGTTGGCCCAGGATGGATCAGTGATGAACACGTTCACCCACAAGTGCCAGCTACCTGAGGACGTGGACCCCACCTCGGTGACATCATCGCTGGGCGCCGAGGGAACCCTGACAGTCCGAGCACGGCGACACCCGGCCAAACACGAGCTCGTACAGACCTTTCGCACCGAGATCAAAATCTAGAGAGAGACCGACTTTGTCACTTCTTGTGTGTTTTCTATTTCCTGTCTTCGCTGTCATCATTGTGCTACAGAGTCTGCACTGCTCTCTATAAAACACGCCACATCCACCTCCCATGACCACAACAAGGCCTGTTGCTGCTCCTTTATATTCTGTTCACCCTGCACAGAATCAACAGCTCATGTATGTACATAATGAGACGGCCACCAGGGCTCGGAGCAGCATTGGCACAGACACACAACGATTAACTCATTATTTCACTTTTGTTCTTTAACACAGATTTAAAACTTAACACTCACTTAAAAAAAAAAAAAGCTAATTTCTCCCCAATAATAACTTATTGTATATTATTATTATTTGTGTGAATTAAAGGATTCTGCTTTGACGATAGACCGTCTGCTCTGTGAAACATATTTGTATTTAATAAAGGATGGCGTTTAGGGGCAGAGCTACACAAATTAATCTGACAGTACAATTATTAATAGAAGGGTGATAGATCAGTTCTACTTTATATATTCTCATGTAGGAAAAAATACGGGGACATTAACAGTAAAATTGAGTCTCTTCATGTTCTTTCTTTGTTTTTACTGTTATTGTAAATACGNTTTGCAGAAGGGAAACAAAGACAGAAACGTGTTAACAAGTGTGAGGAGAGTAGATACGGTGTGAGAAGATACATAAAAGTTGTGAATTCCTCATGCTGAACCTTCATTGGCTCTCTCACCGCTGATCGGAGCTCCGAAGCAGCTGGCGACGCCGACTGCAGCAGCTACAACCAGCATTTCATCGGCTGCTCTCTCCTAGAAGACACACATGCTGTCATGTGTTGTTTCTCTCCAGACCTTTACAGGCAGAAATAGTTTCACCAGCACTTTGAACTGCTGTTCTAACTAAAATCATGAAGATGTAAAACATATATAAATCTGTTGGCTTTGAGCTGCTTCCCAGTGACATTGTGTAGGAGGATGGATGATGCTGGGCGGCTGTGGCTCAGGTGGTACATCGGGTTTTCCTCTAATCACAAGGTTGGTGGTTCGATCCCCCACCTCTCCACAGCTGAAGCGTCCTTGGGCAAGACACTGAGCCTGAAGTTGCTCCCAATGGCAGGAAGCTCTGTCACCATTGGTGTATGAATGTGTGTGAATGAGAAACACATTGAGTGCTACTAAAGTAGAAAGGTGCTACAGAAGACCATTATTTACTAGAATTATGCAATCAAGGACATTAAAAAACAAATCTAATTTAAAAAAAACAAAAAAAACTAATATAATACTTTGACCATTTAGCTTTTTCTACTGCTGACATCGATAAGAAATCGAAATAACTCGTTCCCAAGCATTAGTAAATCGTGGCCACGAGTTATTAATGTGTGGGAACGACATCGTTAAGTCGTGGCCTTGCATTACTCATATGAAGAAACAAGAGAAGTTGTGGAGCAAATGTCACAGTGCGGTCATACCAGCTGTCGATTTAGCATAACGGGCGTATTTGCATGAAACATTTTGATTTCATTTCATTTTATTTTATTTTAACCTTGGAATGAACGACACTGATATCCTGAGATCTCTTGCGATGAAACACCGTGTGATAATTATGTCGTAATAACTCGTAGCTACCATTTACTGATGCGTGGGAACGAGTTGTTTTTATTTCTTATCGATGTCACCAGACGGGCTCCGTGTTTTTGGGCCAGAACACAACAAATTGTACAAATAGAAACGTGGGTAATGCTTTACTTCGTCGCTGTGGTTTACCTTCTTATTGGCTTGTATAAGTGAGCAGAGCTTGCTCAGGTAGGCTCCCAGCATGGTGGAAAGATGCACAAATGGACCCTGATGCAAACAAATATTTTTAAAAAACTCACGACAAAGCAGAAAACAGACAATTAGCTGCATAATATGATGTATAGCTTCATATTTTGTTATGACAAAGGTGTACAGACCACTTTGCCCAGAAAAACAGTGCTTCCGGCTGCCAGTGTGCAGATCAGGCCCAGGAACTTGGCGAACATGTTAGTGAGAGATAAGTAATGAGGCATTTCAGCGCCGGCCAGCATGGTTCTCACCTCCGGTATCCCTGAGCCTGACGAGAAAGAGAGCAGCAGATTTCTGAGGAACTAAACCGATCAAGAAGTGATTCTAAGTTAATACACAGAAATGAGTTTTGAATATTTAAACTGCTAGTAAGGGGAAGGACATCTAAAGACAAGCACCACAAAGAGACTGTTAGTAATGAAACATAATGGAGTTTGTTATTGGTGAAGCTGTGACATCTACACATCAAACTCATTCCTCACATTAGGGTTCATCTGAATTCTTTATTTCTTCTGCAGTAACAGAGCAGCGTCACCGGTGGACTACAAAGCAGTGTGTCCTGATAAACAGGCCTATAGGTCTTTACCTGTATCTGTAATGTTTATGGTAATTATTGGAATATTTGGGGGAAAAAGAACATCTCTTATCTGTGGTGGTCACAGTCCTGTTAAAAGCCTGCTGTTGCATCTATATGAAAGGACCGGATGGCCCACCTGCCGGTCCAACTACAGGCTGCCTCCCTGCTGAGGTGCTTTGAGCTTTTGATTAGGATGGCTCGTAGGCGCCTTCCTTTGGAGGTATTCCAAGCACATCCAACTAGGAGGGTTGGAATAGAAAATGCTGGAGGGATTGCATATCCCAAATGACCTGGGAACACCTTGTTTCTCATGAGGAGCAGGAAAACACTGCTTAGGAGAGGGACACATAAAATATCTGCGACCCAACGCTGGATGAGCAGAAGAAAGTTGGCAGATTGGTGACTTTAATGTTCCAGACTCCTCTCCCAACCAGAGCTTCAGCTGTACTTAGTAAACATTTATATGAACACGTGAGCACTTTAAAAAAAAAATCATTTATGCTGTTCACACTGGCTGCTGTGATGGCCCTTCCTAATGTACTTCTAATGTAAATGACAGGAACCAAATTCACATTTGGCATAAAGACGTTCAAAACTTTATCTTTACCAAGTCCGACTTTGAAAAATCAAGAGGTTTCCAAAGTTACAGCCTTTTTAGTAATAAATATCTCCCCCAACTGTCCATTGAATTATTATTATTTTTGAATAAGACCTGAACGAGGCAACACTTAATGTAATTTCAATATTCATGTGGACACCTTTGTTTTAGATCAGACTGGAAAACTGGGAATCCATCCTTCTAGTAGTTCAGCTAGCTGAAGCATTTCTGCCTTTGAAACATGACTTCTGAACCAAATCTTCTATTTTTTTCTGTCTAACTGTTACAGACCTGTGGAGAAGGGACAGATGTTGTGGGAGAACGACGACGCGAAAGAACAGAGGCATGCTGGGTAAAGAGTCCAGCAGAAGAACTGCAGCACAATGTGTCCCTCCAGCTTCATATAGAGCCACTGATGAGCTACAGGTGACATGAGACAGAAGCAGTAATCACCATTTGTTGTTTTTTCTTTCTGCATGCTGTAAATGTGTGTGTGTGTTAAAGTCTGTCCACCTCTGAGCAGCTTGGTAACACTGAGGTCCATGATGAAGCTGAGGATGGCGGTCAAAACGCCCAGAGCAGCGTAGCCGTACCACTGCATCCCACACACCGTCCCCAAGCACGACCTCAGCTTCAGCTGCCACTCTAGGAATACAGAATGAAATATTTATCTGAGACACATGTTGAGGGTCCATCCATCATTTCTACACCTTAATCCTCACTAGGGTCGCTGGAGTCTATCCCAGCTGACTCAGGGTGAAGGCAGGTTCACCTGGACAGGTAACCAGTCTGTCACAGGGCTACACTTAGAGACAGACAACCAAGCACACTCACATTCACACCTACAGACAATTTACAATCACCAGTTAACCTCAGCATGTTTCTGGACTGTGGGAGGAAGCCGGAGAACCCGGAGAGACGCTGCACGGGGAGAACATGGAGACTCCACCGGTGTCCTCACTGGGACACGAACCGGTGACCTTCTAGTTGTGAGGCGATGATGCTAACCACCGAGCCACCTTGCAGCCCCATGTTGGGTGTGTCAAAGTAAATTACAATTCACACAAAATGTCTGTAAGAACTCAGAGACCTTTCCTGTGTAAAAGGAGTGTTTTCTTAGTTATGCTGATCGGTGGTACTGCTGCAGTCAGACAATAAGCAGGAGGACAATTCAAACTGACTCAACTTTTACAGTCTGTGAAGAAAGCTTTGGTTAAGAAGTGAAACGAAGTCCAAGAGCCTTCTGCTGGCACGATGGTATAACTGGTTCTGCTGCTGCTTTTTCACTGAGGAATATCTATGCTTTTATTTGTAAAATATAGTTGAAACAAAAAGACTTCTTATGATTCTTAAAGGTCAAGGTCACACTAAGGCCCAGAGCTCTTCAGGTCCTGCAACGGAAAAAGGCTTAAAGGATCTGTGTCTGAAATGTGCTCGGATGCAAATAGCAATACCAAAAAACAAAAACCCTCAAAACCACACTGACCAAATAGAAAGCAACTGACAGCACCTATAACACCAAACTGAAAGTACAGCACACGTACAGACTGCAAAATACCAGCAACAGATTAAAGTTCAGGATGAGCTCTGAATATAAACGACATATAAAATCTGTAATGATCACTCAGTATTCAGGAAAACGATCACATGAAGTAAATACACATTTAACCAGCCTGAGATATGATCTTATCACCAAAGTCTTCCAGAATATTGAGCGTGCTGTCCTTGAATTCAACAATAATCTATGACTCCTCAGATTAGGGTCAGACACAGCTCAGGTTTTAGTGCATAATGAAGACTGCCTCTGTGATGGATCGGTTGGCTCCGTATTGATCACGCTGTATTGATCACTTGTCTCTGACCTTTGACAGCTGCACGGGGCTGTCTGCACGGTTTCCATGGCTCAGAAAGGAGACGGCTCTTATTATGGGATGTTTCTGGCTGATTTTCCTTGTTGTTGCCGTCGGTTTCGCTCCCAGGAGACTCGTCCCAGCTGTTCATTCTGCCTTGAAATGTTTGCATCGTAGTATTATTAATACAGCCTCAAATAAACAGCCTGAATGAAGAAGAAACACACATACGTATATATAAGATGGAGACACGTACCTTCTACCTGCTCTTCAGGTGTTCTACCTGTTGGTATGGTCCTATGTGTGTGTGTTGTGTAAATGACTCAGTACCTGGTTGGTAAGTGACCTCTGTTAAGCTATTAGCATAGAGATGGAGGAGCAGTCACGGTTGACAGGCTGGCTAATGTTAACTCTTTAGAGGAACGCTGCTGGATTTCCTTTATTTGTGTGGATTACAGCAATGCAGTGCGACAGAAAAACATTTTCCTGCTACACTGCAAAAAAGAGTTCATCTTATAACACTGACACCATCAACCAGCTGGTGGACAG